GAATCGTACGGTGTCGAATAATTTGGTGTCGAATAAATCTGTGTCGAATCGAGCGGTGTCGAATCGTACTGTGGTCAATAGAGTATCACCCCAAGGATTTGTAGTCGGAAAAAGATTTATTGTCAAGGAAGTAGCGGTATTGCGAAAGGGGACTGTTCTCTCGCATTACATTTTTGGAAGTCTCTTCCCGTGGAGTCTACTCGCAAGATCAGACAGATCAGCAGCTTCTTGGCTGATGATGTATCATCATGGTCTGCGTTGGAAGGATGGAAGTGTTGCATACCACAGAGCAAAGAATTTGATTACAACAGCTATTTGCGGTACCGCAGAAAATGATGACGACGCGTCTTCACTCGTCTATGTTAAAGGTCCCAAAAAATGTAACTGGCTAGCTGATATTNTTGATAGTGACGTACAACATGAATTAATTATTAAAACATTGGATGCCGATTACGACGATATTGCTTCTTTAAATAAACTGAATGTATTGAATTGTCTACGATGTGAAAAACATGTGAAACACTGCGCATTACAAAATGTATTTAAAATATTTAATTGTTGGTCTAAACGACAATAAAATGTTANATGAAAAACTTTGTTTGTACATGTACTACCCTTCTTTTCTATAGCATATGTTTATATAGATTAACGCGGTATTAATCGCGATTTAACATGGTTTCATAGTTGAATATGGTTTGTTTATGGTTTGATTATGGTTGAACGTGGTTTAATTATGATTGAACGTGGTTTGATTATGGTTCGATTATGGTTGAACGTGGTTCTATTATGGTTGAAGGTGGTTCGTTTATGGTTTGATTATGGTTCGATTATGGGTGAACGTGGTTCAATTATGGTTGAACGTGGTACGTTCGTGGTTCGATTATGGTTGAACGTGGTTCGTTTATGGTTGAAAGGGGTACATTCGTGTTTCGATTATGGTTGAAAGAGGTACGTTTGTGGTTCAATTATGGTTGAACGTAGTTTGTTTGCGGTTTATTTGTGGTTACACACGGTTCTAGTATTATTGAACATGGTACAATCGGGATTAAACGTGGATTGATTATGTATCGTTCGACATATTCTTTGTATGTGTGATTATACATATTATGTTTCGGAACGCGGTGCGAAGCGAGTAAGACGAGACAGTTGCAGAAACGCAATTTTATATTATATATGTAGAACGCAGTGCAAAGCAAGACGAATATGACTAAGTTGCAAAGTTTTTTGACAAGAAATAACAATGACAAAGTATACATATTTTATTACTTACTCTAGTTCTGTGTATCGAAAGGAAATCTGGGTTGGATTAGACAACAGGTTGTAAGAATAATGAAGAAATCATGTGTACAAACTAATACATTTATTATATACTAATGTATACACAACGTTATAAGAATTAGCAATATAAAAAGAACAATATATATTACAAACTATTATAAATAAAACATTAGAAGTAAGATATTATAAGTAAAAAATGTAATACAAATATAACAACATATAAAACTACTATAACAATAAAAAGTAACACATTCTGCCGCAATATGCCAATATCTTCGTCCGATTTCTCGTCTGCTTCGTGTACTTCTTTGGATGAATACATTCGCACATTTTCGACACGTTTATATGCAACATGATCCGTTATGAAGAACAGCGTCTTGATGCGACATGGTTGTACCTTTCAGTTTCATGCACACTTACAAGTATAAAATAATCGCAGAGCTAAAGAGAAACAGATAGACTATGTACAGACGTAGCAGTCTGATAAAAGTTCATCATCCTTCAGGACACGAGAAAAGACACACAGATTCTAAATACATTTAAAGAATAAAGTGTAAAAAGATGAGATGCTTGATGACTGCTACTCAGTCTCATTCAGAACGTCAAAACCAACATATAAAAATGGATATTGTACAAGAATGTATTGAATTGAATGAAGTAGTGTCACCAGCAGCATTCGCGTTAGCGAACACGGTAGACACGCTAGTGTTAAAGATACGCCACCTGCAGAGGATGATGGAGGAAACTTTAAGGAGAGACGAAGGAGCCACATTTGAATGGAACGGCTACCATCTCCCTCATAACTTGTAAGTACATCAATAGATTTTACTCTTTACAAGTTGGTTGTTTTAACTACAATTATGTACAACTGGTTATTTTTTCAGAAATTATACACTGTATTTTTATGTTTCAGAACTATAGCCAACAATATCATGAGAGACATGATGCGAATTTTCCAAATGGAGATAACACATTTAGAGGATATGATACAAGACATGAATGTGGCACTCGGACAAATACATATATTTAATAATACACCTCCACACACTCCTCTACCTCCGGAACCGCAAAGAGGTAAAAAATCATTATATAGTAATCAAGTAAAAATATACTCCTCTATTGTGCATTGCAAAATTAATTACATATGTGTTTTGTTACAAGGACGTCAATCTGCTTTATTAGTTTATAGTTTTGAGTATAGTTCAGTTTATTACATCTTAGTTTATTTTTAGTTTATTGTTTGTTTGCATCTTAGTTTATTATATCTTAGTTTATATTGTTAGTAAATAATATATGCGCACATCGCGCAAAACGAAACTATCGACACATACTACCATGATCAAAAAATAACCGGAATTTTTAATTTAAACCTCGCGGGCTTATCGGTGTAGAATTCTGTTGTTTGTGTCACGTTGGCAGCACTGTTACGGACACCCATGCCAAGCTTCTGCTTATCAGCTGTTCATTTATCTTTATGAAAGTGATTTCTTTACATCAAGTTTTTACGTCGCGGCGATTTTTACAATGGATTCAAAACTTGAACAACGTTCTTGCAATAAATTTTGCTATAAAAATGAAATTAAGTGTTCCGACACATTAAAAATGTTACAAAAGTGTTATGGTGACGATACTCTACCGAAAACACAGGTGTACCAGTGGTATGAACGCTTTAAAAGTGGTCGTGAGGCTGTTGAGGACGATGCTCGTCCTGGGAGGCCATCGACATCGAAAACTGATGAAAACGTCGATGAAATCCGACAATTGTTGATCGAAAATCGCAAATTGACGATAAGGGATATAGCTGAAACCTCCAACATATCATCGCGAAGCTATCCGCAAAAAAAGACCTGCTTTGTGGGGTAACAACTCGTGGATTCTCCATGACGATAATGCGCCATCTCATAATGCGTTGATTATTCGTAAGTTTCTCGTCAAAAATAACACCAATACCATTCAACAACCGCCCAATTCACCTGATCTGGCACCATGTGACGTCTTCCTATTTGATCGACTCAAAAAACCACTACGAGGAACTCGTTTTGAGAGTGTGGAGGCAATAAAGCTAAAATCGCTGGAGGCACTAATGGCTATACCAAAAACCGACTTCCAGAAAAGCTTCGAGGGGTGGATCAAACGCTGGCACAAGTGCATCGCAGCCGAAGGGGACTACTTTGAAGGGGACAACTTGATTTTTGAAGAATAAACATGTACTTTTCTTTTTATGAATAAATTCCGGTTATTTTTTGATCATGGTAGTATGATTTTAATATTAATATACACATCCACACATACATGTAACTTGTGTTTATATTCGATTTCTTTTTATATTATTCGATTTCTTTTTATGGTTCAATTTTTTATAAAATATAAATATACTTAATACTAAATACTAATTAGTAAGTAATAAAGTCTCTTCTATAATACAAATGTGAGTTTTTTAATTTGCAAACTTTGATCCCACTCCGATTCCCGACTTTTCTTATAACTTATAGACTGTGAATTAGTAGCGTGTGCTTTAAAAGATATTATGTGCGACGCATGTAAATAATATGTACAAAAAAATTTTAATAAAATTTGAATATAAAAGTGAATGGTACGTCTTTGTTACTTTTCGCTAAAAACTGCAACTCCGCAACTTTGCGCGCTCTCGCTAAAAACTGCGTGAAAGGTTACATTACATAGTTGTCCTAAGCATGTTTGTTCATATTTCTGTTATATACAAAACATGTACATATATAACAAAACGTAGATATACTCTCCTAGTTGTCCTAAGCATGTTTTTTTCATACTTCTGTTATATAAAAAAATGTACATATATATCAAAACGTAGATATATACATCTTAGAGACGCGGTGTTGTCGCACAGCATTAAGAAGTATATACCATGCATATAATAAAAC